AAATAAAAAAGAAAAATTTTTCATTTTAAAATAGTAAAATTACATACAACAAAACAGATATCAAGCAAGAATTATAGTTACATTATTTATATCTACTTTATTTTATTGAAGCTAAAGAAAACTATAATTATAGCTATTTATCTATTCTTCAACTCCATTAAAGACTCCAGAAGGATATAATATTACCTAAGTAAGCAATAAGTTCACTGCAAGCAACTTCAAAAACTTTAGAATTGACAGAGGCTTTTCACTGCCTGGACAGTCACCCAAAATTCTTCTGTACCATTAGGGCATCCATCTTCAGCCTACAGGCCCATAGTATCTGGCAGACTTTTCCATGAAGCAGGAAATTTGAAAGATTGTTTTGCCTCTGTTGGCAGATTGTCAGTAACTTTCTTCTGTGTCCTGCAGAATGTCTGGCAGACTCTTTCATGAAGCAGGAACCCAGAAAAATTGTCTCACCTTTAGACAAGTTCAGCAGTCATTTCTCTGCAGGTACTGCATGTCCAGTTCATCAAACAGTCCAGGCTAGAGCAGTTTTTTGCCCAAATGGAGAACCAACTCAATAAGGAGCCTCTTCAATGCCCATCTTCCTCTTGAAGTAATCGGTGCTACCAGGAGCAGACATGTCTCTGCCATGAAAAGTCCTAACTTCTGAAAACATTTTAAATGCTATATATTGTAGTCTTTGAAAGGTTTGAAGAACACCTATCTACCTGAAATACATCTCTGTACATCTAGAAAATTTAACTAACATGACTACAAGCTTGACTATTATAGGTGATTATCTATTAACCTGCATTTCTTAATACATTACATTTTTAAATGAACTATACAATCACAATACCTTAATCAAGAACAGAAATATACATTTAACAATATTGACCTTAAATTTGTATCAATAAACCAAGATCTATGCCAATGCAAATCTCTATAGCATATCCCTTTTTAAATGTAAACAAACATTTATAAACAATATTTGGGAATATGGGCGTAGTTCTATCTAAACTTCTTCCTACTGTTTATTGGGTGAAATAATTTTTTGAGGGGTGTTCAAAGCTACCTTTAAGGGGGTCTCGGTCCATTAAACCACATTAGTCTGGAAGCAATCCACAGGTTCTCATCTTCTGTGGAAACAAAAGAAGAATCTCTTTTTTAAAACAACATATCCTTAGACCTAAATTCTGAAGTCAAGATACCTTTATAATATACATACTGGCTTAGTTTGGCAGCCCATAGAATAAAATTTCTCTCTATATTTAGCTCCTTCACAGTCAAAAAATTCAGTGAAAGCACAATAATATACATATTCCAGACTCTCTGTGAATTCTCCATCTTTAAGTGGCTTATTTTTCTTTACTCCTTTTAATTTATGACTGTCTATACTCTGTCTCTTTAAAGACTTGTTTCATTTTTTTGTAAACCATTTACTTCTTTTTATAACTCTCTATACTCATTTTCTTCTCTCTCCCAAGCCTTTGTACATTTATCCAACACTGTGACTCATTAAGAGATCTTTTACATCTGAATCTGTCCTATTGTGTATCTATAATTCTTTTCTGACTAGGACTGCTTCTTAAAATGCCAAGCACTTCTTAAAAACTTAAGTGGTACCATTGCTAGGAGAAATATGGTACTTCCTGCTTGCCTCACCCAGTTCAGCTGCCTTTGCGAGCCACACACAGTACCCCATCTATAGGCACACAGTGGGTCCAGGTTGCCACCAAACAAGCCTTAGCACATTGCTCACAAACCCCATTCAAATGCTTGATCTTCTAAAAGAACCAGAGGTCAACCTGGCAGTTTGGCCCAGAAAGTTGGCATTTCAAAATGGCCGCTGCTTTTTTTCTGCTACCACTGAATCAGGAAAACCTCTCTTAAGGGAGCCATGCCTCTGCTTGATTCTAGCAAAAAGAGCCCACCCAAGAAAATGTTGCTACCAAACCATGCTTAACTCTGTTCTTTCGTGTCTAGGATCCCTTTTTAAGCTTTCTCCGGTTTTAAATGGATTTTAGTTGGCCACATGTTGCCAATTTGTTGCAGGGGGCTGCTTGTTTGACCTGGCCACCCAGAACCAAAATAACCACACAGAAACTGTCTTATTTAAATCACTTCTTGGCCCATTAGCTCTAGCTTCTTATTGGCTAACTCTTACATCTTAATTTAACCCATCTCCATTAATCTGTGCATCACCACAAGGTTGTAGCCTGCCAGCAACATTTCAGCACATCTGTCTCCAACAGTGGCTTCATGACTTCTCCTTGACTCTGCCTCCTTTTTCCCAGTATTCCGTTTAGTTTTCCCAACCTAGCTCTGTTTTCCTATAGCTCTGCTATAGGCCCATAGCAATTCCTTTATTAACCAATTATATTCACAGCATACAGAGGGGAATACAGACATGCTTATACATGTGCCCATCTCCCCCGCACTCCCCCCCCACGGAAGACTGTTTTCCAAAATATTAAGAATGAATATGTCTCATAGCATTTTGTATGTTTTTGTTTGTATGTTTGTTTGTTGTTTTTTGGTTTTTTTAGTGGAGGGTTTCAAGACAGGATTTCTCTGTGCAGCTTTGGAGCCTGTCCTAGAATTTGGAACTAATTCTCTAGATCAGGCTGGCCTCAAACTTGCAGAGATCCTCCTGCCTCTGCCTCCCAAGTGCTGGGATTAAAGGCATGCACCACCACTACCTGGCTTGAATGGGTTTTCTATAAAGTTTTGCAAAGATTAGATCTCACTTTTATAATGAGAAAGAGACCAACAGAATATAAAGGATGTTGGGTGAGCATCTTAGTGAATCCCCACAGTCACAGCACCCCATGGTTTATTAACCAAAGGTTTGTCATCTATGACTGGAAGTTTCAGATCCAGTGGGCTTCATGTTTTTATCACCAAAGTTTCATTGGGATGTAACTGTGCTGCTCCAATCACACAATGCCTGTGCTGTTCAGCAGCACAGTTGAGTGGCTGTCAGAGTCTCAATGGCCTATGAAGTACAGTGCTTAATAACTGCCCATTGTTTCTCAAGTGGAAGTACTGTGCTGTGAAACAGTACCACTACCCTGCGCTTCTGAGATTCTCTAGGACCTGCTACACAGAGTAGGTAGGGAATCCCTGGTGCCAGAGTTACCACAGTGACTACACTATTTGGTTGGGGTTCACAGTCCTTGATGCATCTCCATGCCATTGACAGTTGAATATTCTTTCAAGCCACTTTAGGTATAAACTAAAATGCTACTTTATAGTTTGGCAAATAGCTCTGAATGAAGTAGGGCTAAGAAAGTGCTTTTGGTTGCTTGCCTCAATATTTATAGAATAATTATTATTCAGAAATAATTATTAGAAATCAGCTAAAGGTTTTTCTTTTCAAGCAGAGGTTGGGCTTCCTTAAATATCAGGGAAATTTCAAGGTGACCATGGCATCCAGAATTGGAAGACCTCAATAAAGATTAGGGATAAGCAGCAGGAATTTCTTATACATTATTGTTTGCTAACTTGCCACCAACTACAGAACAGAGGACAGGTGTATCCATCTGGCCAGGGATATATCTGTCTGCCTAGAGGACAATGATAAAATATGTGAGGATTACTAAATTCTTTAAAAAACAAGCAGACAAACCATTGTTCTATTCTGGCATTAGATGAAACAGGACGGGAAAGTCCTCGGTGTTTTATCCCCAAACTTCGATATTCACTCAGTGTTGCGGAGGAACTGCTGTGGGCGAGGTCTGAGATTTGTACCGCAGAGAAAAAGCTCTGTGACTTTATTTTAAAGTCATATAGATATCACGTTGGTTAAAATATATCTCAAAAAAAAAATGCCTTAATGCCTTTGTCTCAGTCAGTTTGGGGATCCTGCCTGGGCTCACTATAAAACCAACACAGAGATTTAAAGAAGTCAACTTCTAGGAAGTTGCCAGAGTCAGTTAGATGGCCAGCCCGATCTGGAGAAGACAGACTCTGCACGAAAGGAGCCAAGGGCTGAAATGCAGAAGAGCAAGGAGGACAGGAATGTTCTGCAGGGGCTGTTTCCAGGGTTCACAGCATTGGAGGTGCCTTCTGTCGGAAGGATTCTTCCACTCGTCAGCAGGTGTAAGTTCTTATTCTCACGTAACAACAAGAGGCGGAGGTCACCAGTCTTGCTCGTGTGCTTAGAAAACCTTTCTAGATCAGATATTGTGAGCACCCGGGTAGCACTCACAACTCACGTTCCCCCCTCCCCAAATCTTTGTCATGCTCCTGTTGCTGGCAATAACCAGTTCAAAGTTTTTTTTTTTTTTAATAACCCTTCATCTCAATGTTTGTAAAAGCTATGACACCACTTTAAGGATCCATAGTTGTGAAATGGGATTCTACCTCAGATCCGTGAATAATCGAAATCGAAAGACATGGGAACTGAATTAAAAAGCCACATCTCTGAAATCCTGATGAACATTAATAACATCTGGACAATTCCATATTTCAGATCCAGCCTGTTGTGTCTTGCCAGCTTCCAGCTTCCTCCTCTAGTCATTTTGTGGTAAAGTCAGGCTGTGAGTCTCTCTGCCTCTTAAGCTCAAATCTTTGGAGGTCTCCCCATAGAGGTAAATGCAGTTTTCCCTGTCAAATATATGCAGATACACACATACCCCAACTCTTCCCATACATGTATACTCACATCCCTCATCTGATTACCCACTCCCATCCTACCTTGCCCAACAGCCACCCCTCCCACACATACACACGATTCAAGGAGGAAACAGTGGTGTATTTTAAAAACCCAACCTTAGCATGTTCTGCTTTAAATTTAAATTCTTCACTTAATTTTAAATCCTTCTATTATCTCCATGACAGGGCATTTCTTCCGATCTGCAGGATTCCGTGCCCCAGATGTTAAAAAGAAAAAAAAAATCTAAGTCTGGTTTACTTCATCTGTTGAAAAACAGAATCGGTTTGGCCGAGCTAGACAAACTTTTTTTTTTCCCCAAGTCTAGCAATCTTCCTATTTTTCTTTGCAGGAATGTCTGACAGCTGCTAGCCTGATTTCTTTTCCTGACCACGTGAATACTTCTGTTCTCATCTTGGCCCAGGAAGAAACTGTGTGACTTTCGGCAAAGTTCTCTCTGGTCCTCCAACTATTTGTTGACAGGAGGTGAGCATTAACGCTTTTCAACTTAGGACTCTGATATTCGTCCACACCCCCAAATCAAAGGCACTGTGCTTGTATCGTGGTGGTGTGGCTGTGTGTGTTTTCTATTCCCGGGTAAAAGGTTTATAATTTATTATGGAATCCACTAAAGGTCCTGTGATGGTGAAGAAATGGTCCCTTAAAATAATCCCTAGAGCTGGAGGATTGCTCGGCGGTGTGGGTGAAGTGCTCGCCGTGCAAGCATGGTGACCTGAGCTGGGAGTCCCCGGTGCACACCGGATGTGGTGGCACTAGCCTGTCATCTCAGGCAGAGACAGGGGGATACCCAGGAATCTCTGAGGTCAGGGCTTCAGGTTCAGGGAGAGAACATGACTAAAAACCTAAAGTGAAGAGGAAGAGAGAAAGGCACCCAATGTTGACCCCTGGCCTGCACACACATGAGCACATTTACAAACCATCTAGTTACATGATTTCGCCTCTCTCGCTTGGTTTATGGACTCAGACACAGGCCTAGGACAAAACGGGAAAGGGAGTTGAACCTATTTCTCCACTCATGACTAGGAGTTGGTCAAGGGTTGCCATTGTAGCTGATGCTTCCATAAACTTGGGCCTTCCTAGGAAGGAGGAAGCATGATGATTTGATTTTTGGAAAGGTCTGTGAAGTTGAAGTCCGAGTTCGTGAGACATTCGCCTCAACAAAGAAAAGTCTCCCCAGGAAGGAATGACGTCTTGGCGAAGGGAATGGTTGCTATTAGTGGCACCTTGGAGATCATTGCTTTAGTGACAGAATCTGGCCGTATCTAAAACCAGATCCAGCAACAAGCTCCAAAAAAATCATGAAGAGGTCATCCTTTTCCCATGTGTGCAATATGAGAGATAAAACTTTTAAAATGGCATCCAATTTGTGCATTTACTAAATGAAACAGTTTTTCTAGGTATTTTTTTCTGAATATTTTTAATTCTGGATAAATATATCTGAGATATTTTTTTTCCTCAAAATCTGGGGCAAGAAATTGTGAATGTGACTGATGGCCTGGTGGTGCCCTGCACACCCTGACTCACCCCTCTCCCAGATCCAGCTCCGTGGATGACTGCTTCCCATTAGCACACAGCCTTGGCTCTGACCCACTGAGATAGCCTCTCATACTTCCGGTGGCCTGAAAAGAACTAAACTGGGAAAAGAATTTACTCTGTCACCCAGCAGGTCCTTCCTGTTTGGTGCTACTAATAGGAAGTCTGTGTTTTCGTCTTCCCTGTCCTTGGTCTGGTGCTGATTTTCAGGAACTCACAAGATGAGCTCAGTTAAAAATTTGGAAATGTGTACAACTCTCCATGGACATTCTCTAAGAAACTACAGGACCGTGTTTCTGGTAGGAGCTCTGATCTCGGTGTGATTGTTCTCTGTGTGAACATGTTAGAAGCACGTAAATGCAACAAAGAACTGAAGATTTGCTCCAAAGATGACCATGAATTAACAATCTGCTGCTTAAGTTTTGTGTGTGCACATCTATTTCATATATGAGTGGAGACCAAAGGACAGCCTCAGGTGTCATTTCTCAGACACATCTACGTTGTATACCTTTTATTGATTTTCCTTTTTCAAACAGGGTATCTCACTGGTCTGTAATTTGCCAAGCAGGCTAGGATGGATGAACAAGGAATTCCAGGAATCCACCAGCCTCTACTCCCTCTGTGGGGAGATTACACAAATGTAGGTCCTCATGTTTGCAAGGTGAACATTTTGCAAACTGGGGTGTTACCCAAAGCCCCCCTAAAGTTTTTTTGATGGGCCACAAGAAAATGAATCTTTTATTTGAGAAGATAAATTTTATTTTTATTTGAGAAAATGACTCTGGCATTGAAATCAAATAGCCCTGGGCCAACCTAGAGATTTCTAATAAGCCGAGAGCATGGGAAAAGAACTTAAGTTCTGAGAGCCACAGTCTTCCTCTCTGTAGTCGAGGATGCTGTTGACCACTGTGTAGCTGGATGCTCCTTAGGCGTAGGCAGGACTTCCTCCCAGGCTTGCATACTATGTATCTAACCATGGAACTCAATTCTAAACATCGTTATGAAGGTGCCTACAGTCTCTTGTCCCATGGCAAATGGTGCAGTTAAAAGGCATCATAAGAGGAACAGTTCCCCGCCTAAGGTCCTCCCCCACCGCTCCTACCTCTGCTTTCTAGTAAAATAAAGTTGTGTGCTGAAGGCAAGTTTAGAATTAAGGCAAAGGTGGGATCTTGTCATGACTGTGTTGCTTTCTAGAATGCATTCCAGAGACTTCTTGATCTGCTGGCCCTTCCACCCCCACCCGAGTCCATGCGGAAAGTGAATGTGAGCAGTGACAGAGCCAGCTCTCCTCCTCTTTCCAACTGCTGCTTTTCTACCTCAAGAACAACTGGTAGCAGAAACTCCAGTAGAATCCCACTCCTTCACCTTCATGTAGGATGCAATCATGGTCCCCAAGACTAGCGACTTCGTACTTCATCCAAAGGCTGCTGTTTTGTTCAGAAGTACAAGCAATTGGTTGAAGATGCTGTTCCAGGAGTGGATGTCCTTTAACCCTGAGTTACTGTGGCTGCCTGGGTTTGAGTTTCATGGATTAAAAATTCAAAAGAAAAATATTTAAGGATAGGCTGTTTCTCTTCTTCATTAAGGTCTAAGTTCCATCAACTATCTTCTCTCCCTCCCTCCCTCCCTCCCTCCCTCTCTCCCTCCCTCCATTCCTTCCTTCTTTCTTTCATTTAAAGAGTAGAGTGTTCCAGAGGGACGTTGCCAAATCAGACTCCATTGTCCTGCCTGGATAGACGTAATGCTTTCCAGACCACAAGGAGTTGGAGGCCTGGAAAAATGCTGTACTGAGCAGTTCTTAGTCTTTCTCCTGAGTGTTACCTGTTCCTATTGCTTCTCAACCCTCTTTCTATCCATTCTTGGGCTGAACCAACCTTTTCAGCATTTTTTAACTTCTCATATGGTAACAGTCACTTTTTTCTCTCCTCATTGTTTTTTTTTTGTTTGTTTGTTTTTTGTTTTTTCATTTCCAAAGATGTGTGATGCCTCTCTTGCTTGTGTGATCAAGGGTACCAGGGACATGGTGTGCTTCAGTTTAACTCCTTACATTTACCCGTGGTGCTCTGTTCATTCAATTACACATGAACTCTTTAGTCTTTCCAGGCCCGTGCATTTTGTCCAGACTTGGGCCTCTCTGGGGCTTGGCTTGCCTCCTTGTTTAGAGGAGAGCATATTGCTTCACACTAAGACCATCTGACAGTTGTTATCTGCGACCCGAGACACCGAACTGCCAGTGACAAGTGCCAGAGATACTGATGAGCAAGACCTCCTGGTTTCCCAGGCCCCACCACCATCTGGGTTCACCCCAGGAAAGAGATCAGTATGGCAGCTAATGCTCACAAGGAGGGGGGGATCCCCTCCTCCATTGCCAATCTCATTGTGAACTCCCGTCCCTGAAAACCATAAAACCCATCTGTCTGGATGTCTCCTCTGATATTTCCTCTTCCCATTTCCTTTCCTTTCCCCCTTTCCCCTTCCACCTCTGCTTTACCCAGAATCCCTGAGTGCCAGCTGCTGGTTGACCTCTCTGTGGGAGGCAGACACCAAGGCTGAGCACACCAAGGAGCCATGTGTTCGCAGAGGTCCCCTGGTCCAGTGGGAATAAACCCCCACTCTGCTGTTCATGCGACGAGTTGGGTTCAGTCGGGGTGGAGCATCCCCTTGGCTTCAGAGTCCCACACAGGTGTTTCTGTCTTAGCCTGTTCTCAGCTCAAATGTTCCGGTCAGGAGTGGCTGTTCCTCGTCTTTGTCCCTCCTGTCTCTCTCCCCTGTGCATCTTGCTTTCAGTCTCTCTACAGCATCATCATCTGCGATTGTCTGCCTCGCTTGTTTGCTTATCCCCTTGCCCTCTGTATACCCGAAGCTCCCTGTGCTTGTTTTTGTGGGGTCCTTGCTGCCTGGTATACAACTTGCAGTCAAGACGTATCCTGCCAAACAAGTGGATAAATAATTAGAGGATATAAAAAATAACTAAAATAACATCTCCAGCAACAATCCAAATAATGATCCTGGCTGCTTTCTTTTTACTATCTACCCAGCACTGTTTTATGGATATTCTTAGGAATTCCGAAACCAATTCTGAGAGAGAGGACAAAACAAAAAATGGAGGCTCCCAGGAGTTGGTGCTTTCCCAAGGCCACCCACTAAGGGAAGGGTGGACGTGGGTTCCATCCTCAGATGTGTCTGCCTCTCCAGTCAGCAGGCTTTCTTTCTCCTCCTGTTCTCCCTGTACCATAACATGAGCAACTGTAGCATGGGAAGAAAGAGCTCCCCGAGAGACCGAGATGAAACTTCGCAGTAGCTGGAAGGAGGAAGAGGTGGGGTGACAGGAAAGTGTTTGTGATGAGTTGACTGGTTTTCTGGATTTTATTGGAAGGTCACTGGGACAGCGAAAAGGGGAACAAGAAATTCCAGGACACTGGGCTCTGGGAGGCAGCTCAATGACTGTAAAGCCCAAAATTTGGGTTCCTAGAACCCACAGAAATCCAGATGCTGTGATCCCAAGATTTCCACAGTTAAGTGGGAGTCAAAGCCGGAATAATCCTGGGATATTCATCGCCTCATAGCTTAGTATACAATGGCGAATGAAAGAACCTTTTTCAAAGAAGGTGGAAGGTAAGAGCCCACACCTAAAGTAGCCTCTGACCTCCATACACTCACTGTGGCAAGCATTCACTTACACCAGTGTGTGTTCATGCAGAGAAAGAGAGAGAGAGAGAGAGAGAGAGAGAGAGAGAGAGAGAGAAGAGAGATGCTAAAACACATTCACATTGTGGGGAAAATGCCGGACTGCTATCCTGGTGGGTGAGTGAGTTTGTGTGCATGTGTGTAGTGTGTGTATTGGCATATTGACATGTGCACACCTTAGAATAGGGCAGAAAGACAAACACTATAAAATGAGGTTAAATTCAAGTCCAATGAATTAGTGTTTGGATAAACAGTTTCTTCTTTGCTCAATTCTGACCAGTTACTAAAGGCAGACATGCACATCTGCATGTACTCCAGATGTGCACAAGGATCCCGCCCCCTCAAAGAAATATCACTGTTCAAAGAAATCTCATTGTTTATCTATAGGAAATGTGTTTTGCCATCAAGTCACATTTAATTTTAGATGTTGTCTAAATGTTCCAAAACCTGTCCTTCCTGGGGGTCACCATGACCACATTCCTACTGAAGCCAAAGTTTAGTGATTCAGTCCCTTCCCCGAATCAAGGAAGACTTCAGCCCCCTGAAAGGCTCTGCCCTAATATTTTTGCATCTTTGTGGCACGTTGGATATGTTCACTGCCAAGTCCACCTTGCTCTGCCCTGCTGTTCTCATGCTAGGTGCCCTCTTTTTGCCCGTGGACAATGTTGTCCCCTCAAGATTTTGGGCTTCTGCTTTCAGGCCAGTCCCATCTGGTTGCTCCAAAGCTAAAGTCCCAAGGTTCCAAACTGGCTACGTTTCTTTCCGTTTTCACAGTCCTGGGCTCTATCTGGTGTTCTCCCAGGATGACAAAGGCATCCTCGTTTCTAAGCAACAAAACCCATGAAAGAAGGCTGGAGCCGCCTTGAAAGGACAGGTAGAGGAGAGAGGATGGAGTGTGTTTAGTGAATAACAGTGTTACAGAACTGAATGGTACCTCTTTGATCTCTTGGGTTAAAAGGTGAATTGTATCATTTATAGCTGATAAATCAGTCCATTGAATTAAAAGTATATATTTAAAGTGTAATAACAGATATTATAAACTAAAACTGAATAGCAAAGAAAAGAATGGGAAGAAAGCAGAATTATAATAGGTCTCCTCAAGTGGAAATCTTAACTCTATGAATCCTTTAATATTAGGAAGAATGTGACTCAGAATGAGGGTTGGAGTTTGGAGATATGCGTGCCTAAGAAAAGAATATCTGCATGTGTACAGAAAAACATGTAATGTAACAACACGTGGGTGGAATATGGTTTTTTGGCAGAGATCCTATGTGTTCTCTTAGTTCACAGTAGAACTAGGTAATAAAAAGGAATGTAGGAAGCAGAATGTCTACATAGCACAAATAACAAGGGAAATCCAATTAGTGTGTGCAGTCAGCCCTGCAAGCCTGAGTTCCACCTTCATGCTCTCAGCTACTGATGGTTTGAAAACCCAAGAAAATGGGGAAGTTGAGCTAGTGTTTTCCTACAACCTTTCATCCCTACAGACTACAGTATTTATTAGTAGTGGGAGGTATTCTGTATGCTACCAAGGGAGAAAGGTAAATGCCAACCCAGTTACAAACCCTTCAGTCTACGAGGGCGACCTCTCTTCAAGATAATCTGGTGCAATAGTGGCACACAGCTTGTGGGAGTAACCAACCAAGATCAGATTTGAGTTAAGACCCACTCCATGAGATGGAATCGATGTCCAGTGCTGTTTGTGTAGCCATGAACCTGAGACTAGACAAGCCAAGGGCCTAGGGAAAACCAATACTACTCCTTTGCTAAAGGAATATGGCAATACAATGACTCCTAATGATATTCTGCTACATTGGCAGAGATCCTATGTGTTCTCTTAGTTCACAGTAGAACTAGGTAATAAAAAGGAACGTAGGAAGCATAGATCTATACCTTGCTCAGCTATCATCAGGGAAGTAGCAGATGGGAACAAATACAGAGACCCATACCAGAAAATATACAGAGAGTGAGAGACCTTGGAACACTCATCCATAAAGGGATGTCTCTATCAAATCCTTCCTCTCAGGACTTGGGGAACTCTGCTGAAAAGAAGGCAGAAAGAGTACAAGAGCCAAAGAGGATAAAAGACACCAAGAAAACAAGACCCAGGCATAACAGGACTGCTATGCAGGTATAGACTCACAGAGACTAGGGCAACAGCATGCACAGAGCCTGCCCAGGTCTGTACCAGTTAGGGGCCTAAAGATGAAAGGAGAAGTGGACACCTCCCCCATCTCTAAGTCAGAATCTATCTCCATCTGATAATCATTAGCAAATGAAAACTTAACTTTCTCCAAGGGAGTCTCACTGGGGAAACGGACCATTTTTAAGGTCAGGCTCCACGCCCGGAAGTAGATATTATATGAAAAAAATACCTATTTTCCATAAAAGAAAGCACAAGAAAAAAGTCTAAAACATTCCAAAAAGAAAACTTTGATTCTGCCAAAGGCCACGTATTATGTTGAATCCACATGAAGTTGTGTGTGTACACCCTGCTGTGGCCTCTGATTGCTCACAGTCCCTACATCTGTCTTCAGCTACCCTTTGAACACTGTTTGGCTCATGCCTCACTCATGTACTGTCTAGTTAGAATGAAGAGGGACGCTTTCATCCCCAAGATGAACAAACATTCCTTAAAAATACAAGGTGATGGAGGCTGGCAAGATGGTTCAGTGGTTAATAGAGCTGACTGTTCTTCTAGAGGACCCAAGTTCAACTCCCAGCCCCCACATGACAGCTCACAACTGTTTGTAACTCTAAGATCAGACACCCTCACACAGCCATACATGCACGCCAAAGCACATAAGCTAAAAAATAAATTGTTATCCACGTTGG